GGCCATTATTAAAATGTGCTTTGCAAATAATAATCCTCAATAAATGTGGATTGCTTCTATTAAATAATAGGCACAATCCATACAAGACTTTTAGTGCAGCATTTTATATTTCTAGTATAGCATTTTTAAAAAGAGAATGCTTTTTTCTTTGGGTTCTCAAAGTATGAGGGTACTACATCCAAAAAGTTTGTGGAAAAATAGAAATAAAGTACATTGCATAGTGGTTAAGGCACTGCACTCCCACATGGCTGACTGAGGTTCACGTCCCAGACCCAGGGGCTTGCTTTTTCACTTTCCCACTAGCTCTCGGTTTCTTTCAGTGAGTGCATGTGCCCTGTAGAAACATTTAAAAAATAGGAGCCAGCAGGTGATGTGGTGGTTAGGGACACTGGACTCTCACATGGCCAACTGCAGTTTGAGTCCTGGACCTGGCAGCTTGCTTTCTCTTTTCCTATCTCTTTCTTTCTCTCTCATACTCTGTCCTTCTCTGGTCAAATTTAAATAAATACAGTTAAATAAAATAATAATAAAAAATATTTTTAAAAGAAACACTTAAAATAGTAACAAATACAATTAATCCCTTTTCTTAAAATGTACATGCTTATTTTAGTGCAAAAAATGTTTGAAATACATGCATCATTTTTCATAATACACATTTTAATGAACTTTTTGAAGGCCTCTCATAATAAAAGGAAAGATGGCCCTCATTTTACAACAGAATTACAAATTTGTTATATCCCCTCCTCCTAGAATGTTCAAATCCTATGGTTATGTTTAGTTCAGATTATACTTCAACATTTCCATGAAGCCTTCCCCAATGACCTTCTAAGTTTTTGGTCTACTTCCCTGCTATCCACACATTACCTATTTAATAAACATTGTGTTACTTGATTTAATGGGTAATGGAGGTATCCATATCCTAGGTTTTTCCTTCCAGCATAGGGAGTTTGGGGAGACAAGGAGGGAGAAAGGAAGCTGAAATGATTCAAACTTGATCATAAAATAAAAGGCTTCTTGGGTCAGATCTGTGGTCTAGTGGTTAAGGAAGTCTGATCCTATGAGGCCAACTGTGTGATTGGAATCTTGGCATTGGCAGCTTGGAAAACACACCACAATGTGTATGCATGCTAAAAATCAAGACATGGTGAAGAAATGATGGAGAAGGACTGCAGTGTGACCATGCCCTATGGTGGAGGTGCTTTCTCCCTCTCCTCTCTCTTGTCTCGGTCTCTAACAAGTACACACACATGTCTGGCAAATAATAATGAAAAAATTCAATGGCTTTTCACAAAAAAACTATTACAAAATGAATAATCATTAAAAATGAAACAGGGTACAACAGTTAAGTCCCATGCATAGGAAGCTAGATCACACATGGCTGATCACGATTTGAGTTCCAGCTACAGTGGCTTGAAAAACATGCCAGGAGCATGTGCATGCATGCTCAAAATCCTGACAGGATGGAGAAATAGAGGAAAGAGGATTGTGGTATATATGCATTTTTTTATGATATAAGTAATGATCAAAAGAGAATACAAGAACCCAAACACTAAAACTTTCAGTTTTGGCTATGTTTTTACAAAATGTGAAAAGGAGAAGAAAATATTATCTAATTTTATACTTTGAGAATTTCAGATCGAAAGGACAGTGTCTCTTTATCTGTAATGTAAAAACAAATGGGTTAAAAATAGGTCTATTCTTTTTTCCTTCTCTTTCTTCAATCAGGGCTAGTCTCTTTCTCTCTCTTCTGGATGACTATAATTACTTTCTAACTGGCCTCCTAACCACCTTTTAAATCATTTTTTTTTTTTTTAAGAGATGTTTGCTATAGTGTATGCTCAGCAGAGAGACAGCAAGACAGAAAGCAAGAAGTCAAACCCAAGGGGCGATGGCTACAATCCCTTCTCCTCCATTCTCCTCTTGGGATTTTGGGCACACATGCACACGTGCTCGGTGTGAGTCTTAAGCAGTCAGTCCGAGACTTAAAATGTAGTCTACTAGGTGAGAGTTCAGCAACATAACCATTATGCCATCTGCTGGCCCTCACCTTTTAACTCTTATGAACTACTCTCAAATAATGTTTCTGAAAGTTGTCTCAGAAATCTTCAATGATTTCCAACACCTTTTAAATCAAATCTAAACTCTTCAGCCTACCATTCAGATTCACCTCCCAAAGTCAGGTCCTAAAGCTTCCTTTTAGGATTATAATATTTCCCATTACCAGGGCCAACTTCATGGACATTAGAGCCATGCAGTCTCAAACAACAACCTGAGTTTAAAATGACCCTGTACTTGTTTTAATGCTCTGCTACTGCTATCTTGAAATTGTTAATTTAACAAGAAATCCTGTGGTTTCATTCGACATTGAGCCCTGCAAATTATGTAGCTAGTCCTGCCCCTTACGCCTTATACTTTACAAGAGCAAAGTTGTACTTACTAGACTCCAAATATAACCTACACTTTCTCACCCAATATAATGCTATGCTACTTCCTCTATTTGAAATAACCATCTTGATCTCCATCCACCAAAATTCCACCCTCTTTTTAAATGCTCACTAACATCACACTTCAAAAAGTTAGTTATAGGGAACCAGCAGTTAGCATAATGGCTATGTCATTGGACTCCCACGTAGTCGACCACGGTTCGCATCTTGGACCCGGTGGCTTAAAACTCAGGCTGGGTGTGTGTGTGTGCGTGCGTGCGTGCCCAAGATCCCGAGAGGAGAATGGAGAAGAAGGGATTGCGGTGTGACCATCCCCCCCGGGGGGGGTGATTTCTCGCTTTCTGTCTGTCTCTGTCTGTCTGGTGAGCGCACGCGCCCTATAGCGAAAACCTCTCAAAAAAAAAAAAAGTTAGTTATATGCAAAAGTAAGACTGCATTTTTGTGAAGAGATACTATCTTATACCCAGTACATACCTTTCTTAACTATTGGATCATCGGAAAAGTCATAAAGTGTTTTCTGTGCAAAAATGAGTCATGACTTTTCTGATGACCCAATAGGATTCTGCCTTAGTCCTAAGGCAGAACTCAGCAAACTTTCTATAAAGAGCCAGAGTAAATATTTTAGGCTTTGTGGATCAGTGTCTGTTCTATTTACTCAACTGGCATATAAGTAAAAGTTTTACTAAATAAATGGTAGAGAAGAGACAAATCTTCGATGCGGAAGAATTCAAAAAAATTTATGTATATACTCCATCTTCAAGAAAGGGAAGCATAACTCCCTATTCCCTAGGTGTGTCTGTACACAGTGACTTCCTTTGAAAGAGTACAGTATGGAAAGGCACTAAGGAGAGTAGGAAAATGTACCTTTACATTGAAGAAACCTGACAAATTCTACCTCAACCAGGTGATCAGAAATCATGTTGATAGTATAGAGCCTGAATATGATGTGGACTTCTTCTCAATAACCCATAGTCCTATCATGAGAGAAAACATCAAACTAATTCCAATAGTAGGGCATTCTACAAATTATCTGATAAGCACAACTTAAAGCAATCAAGGTTATCAAAACAAAGTAATTTTCACAAGAGGAACCTAAAGAAACACAGAGACATTTGGTGAAAACAGGAATCTGAATAATCTGGACTTCAGTTACAAAAATGTAATAATACTGGTTCATTCATTGTAACAACTGTACCATACTAAGATGTTAAAAACAGGGAAAACTGGACATCAGATGTTGAAACAGGGGAAACTGGATGTGGGGTATATGGGAATATTCTGCATTATTTTCTCATTGTTTTCTACAAATCTAAAAGTGTTATAAAAAATAAAGTCTATTTAAAAAAATACTTCTTCAAAGCCCAATAGAAATTCTGTCTCTAAGAAACCATCTCTGATTTCCTAAAACTAAATGAGACTTATTTAGAAGCTACCTTACATGTAATCTTTTGAGCACTTACCATATGTACCCAACATAATTGTTTATAAATGCATTTTTATTTTTGCTACTGAATCATAAACTTCATAATGTCAACCAAATTTATATTCTCTGTGTTACTTAATATAAAAGTAGTTCAAAGCAAAATTTAGAAACTAACTAATCCAAATGAAAGTCACTTTCAGTGATGGTGAGTTAATATCACCCAAGGCAGTTTCATTCTACTTTTCAACAACTCTAATTAGAAAGTTCTTCCTGCTGGGTTCAAACCAGCTGCTCCTTAATTTCCTCATTTGTTGCATGAATGAATGAATGACAAGTTAACTAGTTCCATGAGAGCAGGAACACCTGTCGGTTTATCTAATCCAGCACCTGATACACAGTAGACACTCAAAAAAAACGTTTTAGAACAAGTACATAATTAGTAAATGAACTGCAACTTTCACTCCCCCAACCAACAATTTAATTGACTGTCTAGCTAATGATAGTTCACCCATGAATACACCCACATAAAAACATATATGCTTAGTTATTTGAGTGTTTATTGGTATATGTATTGGTATTGAGTGTTATACTGATATATGTATATATCAGTAATATATACATTTAATTCGTCACATCCTTACACATAGGTTTTATAAACAATTTAAAATACTTTAACCAAAGCCAAGAGAAGTTAACTCATTTTTTGCCCTACGTAAGAAAAAATGGGGTATCAGTTAGAGTGCCAACAACTAGGAATGAATCAGAAAACTAAGGTTGGGCAGTAAGACTTCTCCAGTAAATCCGAGGGAAAGGTCCTGGACAAAGCAGCCAGGTCAGGGACTCAACCTCTTCACAGCCTCCTCCAATTTTCACTTTTCAGGAGTCAAACAAAACCTAAAATAAAATACAAATTCAAAGGACAGATGACAGGGTCTCTGAAAGGGAAGTAATTCTACAATCCTACATGAAAAACTCGAAGAAATCTTATTCCACACCGCAACTCCTGAGGGGAGAAAATGGATCCTCCCCTACCTCACCGACGACCGGAGGGAAAACATGACTTCGGCAAGTCCGAGAAGTAACACACCGGAAGATGGCCTTCGGCGGCCTGATCCCGAAGGACGCCAACACACCTTACTACCGGGTCCTTAGAGCCCGCCGGGCTGCTCCCACTCTTCCAGAACAGTCCAGGAGTTGTGAGGAGCAGCTTGGGGTAGGGGTGTGAACAGAGAGGCCGAGGGTGCCTCCTCGGTGCTCTGGGTGGGAAAACACCTTCTGGCCCTTCCGGCGCTTCCGGCCCCTTCCAGCCCTTTCCGGCCCCTTCCTGCCCCCTCCCACCTTGGGCCTCCACGCAGCCGCAGACCAGACCTCACTAGCCATCACCTCCCCAATTCCTGCCCCCTTCGGGCCTCTTTCCAGTGCAAAGTAAGCAGCAGGTGGCATAGTGGTTAAGTCACTGGACTCACACTGTACGAATATAGGTTCAAGTCCTGGACCTGATGACTTGAAAATCATGCTGGGCTTGCGAATGTGCCCCAAATCAGGGAGGAGAATGGAGGAGAAGGAATTGCCTTGCGGCCATGCCCTTGAGGGGTGATTTCTTTCTCACTTTCTCTCTCATTGTCTCGCTCTAGCCAGCACATGTTCACTATGGTAAAAACTTAAAAAAGAAAGAAAAAGCAGGGTTATTGTTTGATGTTTTTTCCTGTGTTAGACTCAATTGTCCAGTAATTTTCCCCACTATTTTCTAAAATTTAGACTCAATTCCTGTGCTACTATTATTAGTGACATAAAATCACAGTAGCCTTCCATTTATCCAAATTATGAAAATGACTCATCTTTATTAATGACTATAAATATAACATGTAGGGGCCTGTACGTGTTTTTCAAGGACTCCATTGTTTTGAGGCCTAACTGAAGCTCTGAAAGTTATTAAGCACTAATACTTACATTGGTGAAAAACTAAAAAGAAAGAAAAAGAAAAGTCACCAGTTATCTAGAACCTGATGGTTAAGATACAACACTATTTATATGTCTTCCTTCACAAAACACGTGTTCCTGCGGGGAGTAAAGGTGGCCCGGGAAATGTCCTTTGGAGTATGGTTGTAATGTGAATTTCTTTTTCTTAAGGTAACCATTTTGCAAATTTGGCATTTCATAACAGTTCGTTAAGGTAGGACAGGATAGATCAGAAGTGTCAAGATCCAGATCCAACCACACATTCTGGGTTGGAGAACACAAGGAATAGACTTGGTGTTGATGTGAGCCAGGGAGCTTTGATGTTGCCAGAGGACCCTCCTTGGAAGGTCTTCACATCTAAGATCAGGTTAACAACAAAGGACTAGGGAGGTACCCAAAATTAAGCTATGGAGGGTTTTTTAGCAGGTAGAATTCAAGACAGGGTAATACAACAAGGAAATTTAGCAGAGTTGAGAGCAAAGACACCAGTCCTGGGAGTGAAACTGGCAAGTGCGAAGTAGAGTCTTCTCTGGGGAAGGTACTGAAACCCTGAACAACTCTCCAGAATGGGGAGGGAGAGAAAACGAATTTCACTGAGAGTTTACTTTGTGTTAGGCAGTTTGGATACGTGATTTTATTCATCTTCTCCCAAAATGCTGTAAGACATATATTTTTCTTACTTTAAAGATGAAGCAACTTGGATAGTTGATGGCATTGTGATTAAGGCAGCTGGATCTCACATGGCCAATTGTGTGACTGGGGTTCTGGACTCAGCAGCTTGAAAACTACACTAGGCACGTATGTGTAGGAGAATGCAGGAGAAGGGACTGCAACATGGCCATCTCATCTTACATACCCTGGTGTTGGGGGAAGCCCTTTCTAAAGCTTTCTCTCTTTCTCTTTTGCACTGCACACATGCCCTAGAGCAAAAAAACATGTTTTTGTTTGTTTGTTTTTAAATGAGAAAACTGGGGCTTAAAGAGATTAAATTACTTTGCTCAGATAATAGCATAGCTTATGAGAAAAGAACTGGGACATCTAAGTTTATCAGATGTCTAGGCCACATCCCTATTTCTATAGCTCCTCCTCCATGTATGGACCCATTTATAAGATTTGGGACACACCATTTAGGTCACATTAAAGGCAACAATAACAGAAAGCCATTGATAGGGAAGATACTGTTGAGTTTTGCTCTTCCTTTCTTCTTCCTTCCTTTCAATTATCCTCTACTCATTGAATCAATCAACAAATATTTGATTGTGTAGCAGAAAGAGCCTACTCTCTGGGACTAGGCAGTCTGGCTTCATAACCTGCCTCCACCAGTTTTTATTTAGTTATGTGGCTGAAAACAAGTGATCATTTCTTAGTTTTTTATTTTTTAGTATTAGAATAATTGTGCCAGCTAGGCACATAGGTTGATATATTGTAAGGCTTCTAGCATAGTGCCTAGAACATAATAAGTACTCAGTATGTTTGCTTGCCATTAATATTATTCACGTGGATGCTTAATATCCCTGGCAGCTGTACTATAACTGCCTAGTTCATTTTTTCTTCCACACTCCTAACCAGTTCATACCTTCTGCTATCATCTGAATATTTGTGTCCTCCCCAAACCCATATGTTGAAACTTAATTCCCAGTGTAATAGTAGTAAGAGGTGGAGTTTTGGGGATTTAAGTTGTGAGGGCTCTTCACAAATGGAATTAGTGCCTTTACAAGAGTTTTGAGTCTTTTGAGTCTTGCTTGCCTCTTCCACCATGTGAAGACACAGCTAATAGGTGCCATCTCCAAGGAACAGGCACTTAGCAGACATGGATTCTTCTGGCACCTTGATCTTAAACTCCCTCGCCTCTAATACTGTGAGCAATAAATGTCAATTGTTTATAAATTACATACTCTAAGGTATTTTATAGTAGCAGCCAGAATGGATTAAGACAACTTCACTCCTCTTCAAATCTCTAACAACTTCTCCCTCAGCCTCACTTTCAGCTGAAGTAAGATAACTGCTCCTAGTATTTCGTGAATATTTACTATTTAATTTTAATAGAACTTAATATTAAATACTTTGTATTTAAGTGAAATAACTAAAACACCCAGAAGTGAATATTCACAGAAGGCCACCAGCACAGTTACACGCCTTCCATCATCTGTACCCACAGGGTCTGCTTTCCCACCAAATACGGTAGATGGGCAGCACTTGATCCCATGTGAGACTAGGTCTCCAAGTGGGCATCTGATCCCCTCTCTTCTTGCTTACCCAACAAAACAAATTCCTATGTCTCAATTTTCTCCTCTCCACGGAATCATTCTCAATAACAAATACGCTATTATTTCTGCCATATTAAAATCTCTTGATTCTACTTCCCACCACAGCTAGGCAGCCCACTTCTCTGCTATCCTTTATAGCAAAACTCAGAAGGACTGTCTATAACTTTTGTTTCTACCATCTCTTCGTTGTTTATTTTTTCTTTTTAATTTTATTTATTTATTTAATTCCATTTGTTATTCTTTTTTATTTGATCAGAGAGAGAGAGAGAGAAAGGGAAAGCAAGAAAGCAAGCCACCAGTTCCAAGACTTGAACCGTGACTGGCCATGTGGGAACCCAGTGTCTTCATCCGTCATGCCACCTGCCAGCCCCTTGTTTGTTGTTTATTTATCTATTAAATATATTTACTTATTTCTTCTCTCAGCATACAACAGACAGAGAGAGAGACAAGTACGCCCATCACAGTTCTGATGGATACAGTTCATCCCAGCTTCAGCCAGCCTAGATCATGGGCTCATACATGCCTGGGATACTCAGGGAGGTCCCCAGATGGGGGTCAGTCTTGCAGAGTGCTGTGTTTTACTCTTTGTGTATTCAATTTCAATATACTTGAGGTTGAACCATGTAGGTACCTTTTTTTTTTTTTTCTAAAGAGAGATTTTTGCTATAAGGTATGTGTGCTCGCCAGAGATACAGAGATAGAGAGAAAGAAAGTGAGAAATCACCTCTGGGGAGATAGCCATGTTATAATCCTCTCTCCTACATTCTCCTTTTGGGACTTTGGGCACACACACACACTCACCCGCCCTGATTTCAAGTCACTGGGTCCAAGACTCAAATCGCAGTTGACTGTGTGGAAGTCCAGCAACGTTGCCATTTCACCATCTACTGGTCCCTTCAGGTACCTTTAAAAGCTTAACTCCATGGGCTGGCAGGTGGCATGATGGTTAAGGTGCTGGACTCCCACATGGCTGACTGCAGTTCTTTCTTTGGCAGCTTGCTTTTTCACTTTCCCATTCTCTTGCTCTCTTGGCTTTCTCTTTGGTCAAATTAAAAATAATAATAACAACAAAATTAAATAAAGAAATAATTTAATACCAAAAAGAAAGCACAACTCAAACAGCCTTTCTTATTCTAGTAACAATTGAATGGTGCTAATACATAAGCCTCCCAAATGAAAACTCATTAGCAAAGTTAGCTCTTAAACATTATTTCTAGTAAATACCTCTCAGGAAAACCAGCCCCTCCCATTCTTTCTTAAATTTACCCCAATCAAGCATTTGCATTTCCACCATGTCACAGAAACTGTTCTCTTCAAGATTCTTGCTAAATCCACCAGACAACAGCCAATACTAATTTTCTTGGGCAATCAGCAGCATTTGTTGATCATATTCTCCCTGTGGATACACCGTCTTCACTTGGCCTCCTTTTACCAAGCTCTTGTGGTTTTCCTTTAACCTCGCTGGTCATTTTATAGCATCCTTTATCAGTTCTTCCTCAAAACCAAACCTCATAGACTGATTTTGTGGCATGGTGGTTAAGGCAGGCAGATCCCACATGGCTGACCATATGGTTTGAGTCCTGGACCTGGCAGCTTGAGAAATACATCAGGTGCATGTGCATGTATACAAATCCCAAAAAGAGGGAGAGATGGAGGAGAAGGGATTGCAGTGTGACCATCCCCATGGGGGTGGGGAGTGCCTTCTCTTCCTCCTTTCTCTCTTTCTCTGGTGAGGGTATGCACTTTCTAGAAAATGAAACAAAACAAAACAACAAACAACAAATAAGAACTTCTTAATTTCAGAGTATCCCACACGCAGCCTTTTTCTTCTTTGACTACATTCATGTCTTTGATAATATCAGCAACACATAGCTTTAGAGAGCCTCCACATGCTAATGAATCCCAGGTTTTATCTCCAGCACTGGCCTTTTCTTGAATTCCAAATTGGTATAACTAACTGCTTCTTTAATATATCCACTAATACACATCTTGAATTTCAAATTCCAAAACTGAACTTCTAATTTCCCCCTCCAAACCTATACCATCCATACACTTCCCT